AGCTCCGATGACAACCTCGATAAGCTTCATAAAAGCCTTTCGGGTGCAGATTTCTTCGCTCCAGTTTGGGTGTGTATCTGTTCTACATGTTCTATTCCTGTAACATAAACATCACTCAGGGCAAATGCCACGCGTTGTTTCTGGGTCAGAGATGCGTGTAGACCAGCATATACAGCTGTTTATGTCTTACTGGAGCGTGGGTGGAGCGTGTTCAGGTGAGCGATGGATGCAGTGTTCTGACCTGCCTCCTGCCAATCTACCCGGCCTGCAAGATGACACAGGAAGAGAGAACGGCAGCCGAAGATTGCATTGGCTCTTGTAGCAACATCAACTACAATTGGTAATGGTCAGACTAATCACAGTTATTCGATGAAGACGAGCGTAGTCGGACAAGTCACAGATTCGATGAGTAATGTAGAATCTTACGTCGTACATAGACGCAATCTGTAACGCTGTAACGTTGATGTGACAATTTGGACAATGTTATCCCTGCTACTGAGTAGATAACGTAAAACTTTAATTGCGGTTACAGTTTGGCCTTTGATAACACCCGAGAATCAGTAGATCCGCTTGTGACTATCCTTGTCACTCCACAAGGTGCAGTGGTTAATAGGCATGTACAACATGCTGCCCCCCTGATTCGAAACCAGCATTACTCTTAACAATTTAAAATACAACTTACATTTTCAAATGAAATTAACACAAATTACAGATGAGCTGTATACACTTCACACTGACACAAAACTCCAAGGATCACCAAACAACTGCAGATAATACAGAGAAAACCAATTTTCCAGAGGAAAACAGGATGATCAACCCAGCGGGTTTTCTTCTTATTGGGGGGTGTTGTACATGCTGCTATGGCGGTGTGTCCACTCACAGGATGAGTGGCGCTGCCCAATAAACTCGCCCCTCGGGGCGAGACTTAAACTTAAAAAGGAAACGAGAGTAAAATGTGAAAAGACACAGCCAAGGGAGCTGAGAGAGGAGATGAGTATTACCAGAGCATAACACGTACCATGGAAGGCCCAGGCCTGGAGAGGGTCGGTGGAGACCCACCCACACGGAGACAACTTGAACTGGCAGCTGCCTTCACTAACTGCAGGGAAGAACAGCCTTGTTAGAACACCCTCACGCCTCTCAACATGTATAGTGCTACAGGTAGGTATAATCTACATACCTGAAAATGAATGATTACAAATAGTTGACCAAACCACACACTAGAAGGTGAAGGGACGACGACGTTTCTGTCCGTCCTTGATCATTCTCAAGTCGATCGATTTGAGAATGGTCCAGGACGGACCGAAACGTCGTCGTCCCTTCACCTTCTAGTGTGTGGTCTGGTCAACTTACTTTACCCACGTTATTGTGACTCATTGCCTGCATATGATTACAAATAGATTGTATAATTTATGCTAGAATCGCGTGCAGGCCAACCCATCCTCTTGTTTAGATAGTACATTTTGTAACTATGTGCATCATAGTACAAACATTGACTTACTAAGCTATCAGATAGTAGAATTTGGTACTATTCACTTTTATAGAGTCCGAAACAGTGAAGCGTAAAAACTAATTTAAATATTCCTCGGCCTAATATAACACACATATATACTATATTAGGCCTCAGATAGCGTGTATTAGGCCTAGGAAAGTTAGCTTAGATTAGTTTAATTGGTCTTTGCACCATTGAAAAAATCTTTTGCGGTTTGTCCAAATTAAATAGTACCGAGTCCTACTTTCTAATTGCGTTATACGTCGGTATATGTACTATGGTGGTCATCGCTACTATAAGTACTACCAAAACAGGAGGATGGGCTGGAGCATCATACTGTATCATCTGTACCAAAGAATAAACTGTACTTTAATGGGCTGTACCTGTCACAAGCTTACCTGTAATCAACTGTGCAGCTCCGTGTACTTACAGGAGTACCTGAGGGTGCACTTACAGGAGTACCTGAAGGTGTACTTACAGGAGTACCACAAGGGTGCACTTACAGGAGTACCTGAAGGTGTACTTACAGGAGTACCACAAGGGTGCACTTACAGGAGTACCACAAGGGTACACTTACAGGAGTACCACAAGGGTGCACTTACAGGAGTACCACAAGGGTACACTTACAGGAGTACCCCAAGGGTGCACTTACAGGAGTATCCCAAGGGTGCACTTACAGGAGTACCCCAAGGGTGCACTTACAGGAGTACCTGAAGGTGTACTTACAGGAGTACCCCAAGGGTGCACTTACAGGAGTACCCCAAGGGTGCACTTACAGGAGTACCCCAAGGGTGCACTTACAGGAGTACCCCAAGGGTGCACTTACAGGAGTACCCCAAGGGTTGCACTTACAGGAGTACCTGAAGGTGTACTTACAGGAGTACCCCAAGGGTGCACTTACAGGAGTACCCCGAAGGTGTACTTACAGGAGTACCCCAAGGGTGCACTTACAGGAGTACCCCGAAGGTGTACTTACAGGAGTACCCCAAGGGTGCACTTACAGGAGGTGTACTTGAGGAGGAAGTAGCCGCGGTTGTGTAGCTGGTCGCTGCTGAAGAAGACAGTAGCTGCTGGGGACGGGCGCAGCTCCAGCAGGCGACCAGACGGGGAGGGCGCCTCCGTCACCTTCAGGTCCTGGACGCCATCAGACACCTGGAGGACGGTGAAGGGGGACGGTGAAGGAGGAGGAGGAGGAGGAGTTGGTGCCGCCTTGTGATAGTGTCGGGTGCCGTCACCATCACCATTACCACTATTAGCACAACCCACACCAACCACCAATGCAACTACAACAATCACTATTGCATACACTGCTGCCACCAGTAACGCAATCACCTCTACAACAAGCACACGCACTTCTACAACCACCCACACCAGTACAACCACCCACCACTGAGCACCACTACTACAATAACCACTACCACTTGTGGACCAGACCACACACTAGAAGGTGAAGGGACGATGACGTTTCGGTCCGTCCTTGATCATTCCCAAGTCGATCGATTTGAGAATGGTCCAGGACGGACCGAAACGTCGTCGTCCCTTCACCTTCTAGTATGTGGTCTGGTCAACATACTTTAGCCACGTTATTGTGACTCCTCGCCTGCACTACCACTTGTGGTCACAACCACCACGGCCACTAATGCTTCTGAAGGTTGAGGAACAGGGTAACAGGGTAAGGGGGGGGGGGGCGTGTGATATGTAGGCCACCTACATGTAACATGTAGGAGTCTACCAAATGTAAATGTTACTTTTACTGGCCTCATACTGCTGCCATCCCCGACCTTACCCACCCCAGCCTTACCCAGCCCGACCTTACCCTCCCTTGCCTTACCCAGCCCGACCTTACCCTCCCCAGCCTTACCCAGCCCGACCTTACCCTCCCCAGCCTTACCCAGCCCGACCTTACCCTCCCCAGCCTTACCCAGCCCGACCTTACCCTCCCCAGCCTTACCCAGCCCGACCTTACCCTCCCCAGCCTTACCCAGCCTACACAAGTCACACCCCACAACCCTCCTCTGACCTTCCATTTGACGTCACATGGCAGAGGAGTGGGAGTACATCACATTACAACACACATGCTTGGTATGTGGCCACAATACTTCATCCCACACACACCCATGGACGAACTATTGTGCCACACAACAATGGCCTCTGTGTGACCAGTAACGACTCACTTGAAACACACCCGGTGGGCAGCGCCAACCATTTTTCCATAAAACTGTTGGAAAAAATAATAACGAAATGAACGGGAAGAGAAGAATTGGGCGAAGGAAAGAACACGGGAGAGTATTAGACAAATCAGAGAACAAAATGATGTTTCTTTTTTCTATATAAGAAGTTATATGTGCGAGACCGTCAACCGCTGTTCTCACAAAGACCGGGAAGTGAGGATGGGGAGCCAAGGGCAACATTCCAGGACGTGAAGACTCTTGATAACTTCGCTAAGCTTTGCTTGTGAAGCCTCTCGGGGGCGAATTAGGAGACGTGGACACAAAGGTGGTGGTGGGGGTGGTGCGTGATGGCAGCCACACCTTCCAGAGGAACGGCAGCTCGACAACCACACCTTCCAGAGGAACGGCAGCTCGACAGCCACACCTTCCAGAGGAACGGCAGCTCGACAGCCACACCTTCCAGAGGAACGGCAGCTCGACAGCCACACCTTCCAGAGGAACGGCAGCTCGACAACCACACCTTCCAGAGGAACGGCAGCTCGACAGCCACACCTTCCAGAGGAACGGCAGCTCGACAGCCACACCTTCCAGAGGAACGGCAGCTCGACAGCCACACCTTCCAGAGGAACGGCAGCTCGACAACCACACCTTCCAGAGGAACGGCAGCTCGACAACCACACCTTCCAGAGGAACGGCAGCTCGACAACCACACCTTCCAGAAGTTAGACGTAAAGGTCTGCAGTGTAGTACAACATGAAGCGTAGATGTGACTTCCATTTAGTGTCCTAAAAACGTACTTCCTTGATGACACAGAGAGACACAGGCCGCAGTCAGCAAGTGACACTAAGCGCACTTACCTACAGCAGTTCAGAGTGTGAGAGATTAAGCGGCGTATTAGCTGAACATAGAAATCTGGAGATGGATGATATAGCCCTTGATGTACAGTAATCTGGGTACGTAGTAACTTGACATAGCAAAGGAACACAGCTAGTTCTTTTAAGATATAATAGAACACCAGAGACCCACGACCTGATCTTCTGGCCAGGTCTTGGTGGTCCGTGGTTCTCAGGTGGTCTTCGCGATTATGTCCTCCCTATTGTTTACCAGAGCTCCCTATCTCCCTCCAAGCTAAAACTTAGATCTTGCCCAACGTCACCTGTGAACTCCCCTGCCTCGCCTCCCCTCCCCCAGCTCAGCAGGTCTCCCCCATTCTCTCCGCATTCAACACACTCCCAAACCCCAGCACTTAATTCACACAAGAAAGTCAGCTGACTGGCTTCACAACAACGCAGAAAAGTTGACTTAATTTCCTCGAATGCATTTTCATTCCCGCGCCGAACTTTTTAAGACGTCAATACTTTGAAGAGTCGAGAAGTCCATTAAAGTCAATTTTTTCCATCACTCAAACAAACTGAGCATTTGTTGTATTTGATATATATAATATATATATATATATATATATATATATATATATATATATATATATATATATATATATATATATATATATATGTGTGTGTGTATATACTCACCTATTTGTACTCACCTATTTGTGCTTGCGGGGGTTGAGCTTTGGCTCTTTGGTCCCGCCTCTCAACTGTCAATCAACTGGTGAACAGATTCCTGAGCCTACTGTGATTCCTAGCCTACTGTGTGTGTGTTTGTGCGTGTGCTTTATACACATTTATTACATTTACCCGTAATATCTTCCTTCTCCATCATTCCCTCGCTTCCTCTCCATATATCATCTCTCCCTCACTTCCTCCCTCCCATCCCTCCTCACCGTCACTCCATCATTACACTTCTTCAATATCTTCCATACCACTCAATCCCATTCCATTCCTGTCCCTTCTCTTCCGTCACTCCATTACCAATTCTTGCATCTCTCCTCACCTCCTTCTCATTCCTGTCCACATTTCTTTCTTCTCCTCGAGACTCTACTCTTCCCTCCTCTCGCCACAGAGACAGTTGGAGAGTATCACCGGCCTGGGAGGTCGACCCGACCTTCCACGACCAGCCCGTAAGTGGGTTACTCAACGGAAAAATCGAGTTTAAGGATAGAGTTGAAGGAAGCTCTGCAGCCTTCCTTCGGCGACTTAGCGTCTGGGTAGTGTGTTTTGGCCAGGTCTTGGTGGTCCGCGGTCTTCTGGTCCAGGTCTTACTGGTCCGTGGTCTTCTGGTCCAGGTCTTACTGGTCCGTGGTCTTCTGGTCCAGGTCTTACTGGTCCGTGGTCTTCTGGTCCAGGTCTTACTGGTCCGTGGTCTTCTGGTCCAGGTCTTGGTGGTTGGTCTTCTGGTCCAGGTCGTGGTCCGTGGTCTTCTGGTCCAGGTCTTGGTGGTCCGTGGTCTTCTGGTCCAGGTCTTGGTGGTCCGTGGTCTTCTGGTCCAGGTCTTGGTGGTCCGTGGTCTTCTGGTCCAGGTCTTGGTGGTCCGTGGTCTTCTGGTCCAGGTCTTGGTGGTCCGTGGACTTCTGGTCCAGGTCTTGGTGGTCCGTGGACTTCTGGTCCAGGTCTTGGTGGTCCGTGGTCTTCTGGTCCAGGTCTTGGTGGTCCGTGGTCTTCTGGTTCAGGTCTTGGTGGTCCGTGGTTTACTGGTGGTGTTTTTGTTATGGTATTCATACATGCACATATCCTACCCCTGTCACACATCCTCGTATCCTGCTAACTTTCCAGGGCTAACCTGTACACTGCGCCTCGGTAGCTGTCGTGTAGACACTAACAATGTTCCTACCTCTTCACAAAGTGTTGCCCATCTGGCATATGTTCCCTTAGATACATGCCAAGTGCCGTTCACAGTACCATCTTCACAAGATCTATCTTCTGGTATACTCTCCTCACACCAACACAAAATAATCATGTTCACATATATGAGTTTTTCATCATCTACACTCAAAGACCCTAACGTCTTAATTTCTGATGTTCAAAATCAGCAATTTGGTAGCGTGTTCTCCACTAGTACTCCTCTCTCTGACTCACAGCAATGAGTACCCGCCCTCCCTGACTCACAGCAATGAGTACCCGCCCTCCCTGACTCACAGCAATGAGTACCCGCCCTCCCTGACTCACAGCAATGAGTACCCCCCGTCCCTGACTCACGGCAATGAGTACCCCGTCCCTGACTCACGGCAATGAGTACCCCGTCCCCGACTCACGGTAATGAGTACCCCCGTCCATGACTCGCAGCAATGAGTACCCCCGTCCCTGACTCGCAGCAATGAGTACCCCCGTCCTTGACTCACAGCAATGAGTATCCCCGTCCCCTGACTCACAGCACTCCGACCTACCTGCAGAGCGTCTCCGGCGTCAAGCCTGAGCCGGGCCACCAGCATGTGGACGAGCTGGCCGGCCGGCGGGGTCACCTTCCAGCTGCAGGTGACGTTGGCGCCGTAGGTGTCGGGGTAGTACGGGGACCTCAGCTCGCCCTCGTCGCCGCCAACCTCCCCGCCACAGTCTGTGCGAGGTGAACAGGCTCAAGTAGAGTATGGAATGTGTTCAATTTTCGTAGGGATGGCATAAAGTTCAGTTGAGGCAAGGATGATGGGGGAAAATATTAAAATAAATCAAAGATGGTACGGAATAGGGTAGATTAGGGCAAGAATAGCCAATAATATGCTTTACTGGTTAAGGAATCCCATGTCAAAGATATTACTAAATTAAATAGGACAATATTATCTAAATTGGGAGAGATATGGTTGACATCTCGTTAGTTTAGATCAGGAATACTGTTCGATGGGTTAAATTGCGACTAGAATGTCCCAATTACATAGAAAGCTATTCTGGATGAAAAATTCTGCGAAATAGGTAAAATATAGTTGAAGTGTAAGACAAATTAAGTAAAGCAGAAATATGCAGAATACCCAAACAGATCTGAAAATGTTATAGAATATATAAAAAATTTGTTCAAGCTAGGCATCTCTCCCCAGACATAGCCCTCCCTCGACCCATCTTCCCCCAGACACAGCCCTTCCTCGACCCATCTCCCCCCAGACACAGCCCTCCCTCGACCCATCTCCCCCCAGACACAGCCCCCCTCGACCCATCTCCCCCCAGACACAGCCCTCCCTCGACCCATCTTCCCCCAGACACAGCCCTTCCTCGACCCATCTCCCCCCAGACACAGCCCTCCCTCGACCCATCTCCCCCCAGACACAGCCCTCCCCACCACCTACAGGAGCGGGCGAGCGCAAGAATCACACCATTGATATAAAACTGGCGTCAAGACGGGTATTCACAGGCAGGATGGCGGGACCAGCCGCCATCTGCTGAAGGAAATTGCACCAAACTCCGCCGTTGTAATATGGGAAGAAATCCATCACGGCGTCTGCGTCATGGAGGGAAGAGCACTGGTGTGTCACGCTAATTTAAAAGTACATTGTTTCATGTAAGACAATTTGGCCGTTGAAATCACATACCAATTTAATGGCTTGTGAAAACACCCGAGGTTCCTGGCCGCTGATACCTGACTGTCAGCTGGAACGTCACAAGGTAGGCAGTCCATACACCCACCACCACTTAACATCGGGTACAATTAAGAATGTGATTACCACAGAGTCAGATTCACGAAGCAGTTACACAAGCACTTACGAACCTGTACATCTTTTCTCAATCTTTGCCGGCTTTGTTTACAATTACTAAATAGTTAATGAGATCCGAAGCTCCAGGAGGCTGTTTATAACAATAACAACAGATGATTGGGAAGTTTTCATGCTTGTAAACTGTTTAAAAATGTAACTAAAGCCGTCAAAGATTGAAGAAAGATGTACACGTTCGTAATTACTTGCGTAACTACTTCGTGAATCTGGCCTCTGGCCTAGGAATTCACAACCCGTCCTCGACTCAAGTCCATTACATTCAGCGGTCAACCCCACAGACGCATTCATAGATTTTAACATGCTGTTCATTCAAAACGGGAATTTTCGCAAGTATAAATTAATATTATAGTATATTAGCATATTGTGTATATATAGGCATAGGATAGGTTAGGTTAGGTGTTTAGGTTCTGTTGGCGATTATTTGTATTTGTAGTACGTGGGTGAAGCGTTTATAGCGTTGTGGTTCGAACAAAATTCGTCAGTGAAGCACTTGTTCCGGATATGTTCGAACGTCAGCAGTTGTGAGTCGTGTGTAAACCGCTTTTCATTCATAAACAGGGGGTTTGGCGGGTGCATGGAATCACTTTTGGATCTTTGTTTGGAGGACGGGCTGAAATTCAAGACCCCCGAGTTCGATCACCGGCGAGGAGGCAGTGTTATTTATTGATTATGTTCGAGAAAATTTCCAGCGAAACCCAGACCGTCCTTATCAACAAAGGCCAAAAGCTCATTAACCCAGCCGCCAAACCCCCTATTAATGAAATGAAAAAGGTTTACACACAACTCACAACTGATGACGTTTGAACATTTCTCGACCAATGCTTCACTGACGCCCTCGGTTCGAATCTCAACTCTGTAAATGCTTCACCCACGTTCTTCAAATACACAGCCCGTCCTCCAAACAAAGATCCAAAAGTGATTCCATGCACCCGCCAAACCCCCTGTTTATGAATGAAAAACGGTTTACACACACGACTCACAACTGATTTCGTTCGAACACATCCGGAACAAGTGCTTCACTAACGAATTTTGTTCGAACCACAACGCTGTAAATGCTTCACCCATGTACTACAAATACAAATAATCGCTAACAGAATCTAAGCACCTGACCTAACCAATGCCTAACCTTATATATAAATTATATAATAATAATAATAATAATAATAATAATAATAATAATAGGAATAACTTATATATGAGAACAAACCAATTTCATTACACATTATATTAAAATTGATGAGTGCATCTATAGGGGGGGGGGCTCCGTTCTTACTAGCGTAGTTCTATATACCTCTATTCACACTCTCCCTCCCCTTCTCTCTCTCTCTCTCTCTCTCTCTCTCTCTCTCTCTCTCTCTCTCTCTCTCTCTCTCTCTCTCTCTCTCTCTCTCTCTCTCTCTCTCTCTCTCTCTCTCTCTCTCTCTCTCTCTCTCTCTCGACGGTGTTGGAGGCTCTGATGTTCAGACCATTCCCACCAGTCTTGGTCTGGACTAGAGATGAGCCTTCTTGCATGACTCTCCACTTTATCCAAAAGTCTGATGAATGATGAGGGGGGACAGGTGATCCAGGAAAGGGGAAGCATACTCTAGATGAGAGCGATCTTGTGTTTCATATAAGGTTCTGGAGCCCTAGCTGTCAAAGATGTGTGAGATGCGCCGTAGAGCTGTAAGTTTCCTGGCTGCCTTTTGGGCTAGGTCAAGCACAAGGTTCTTCAGTGTCATTGAAGAATCAAACTTTATTCCCAAAAATGACAATTTCATTTGAGAACTCTAGGGTTTTGGCACCCATTTGCCAGCCTGTTCGATTTGCAGTGTGCAGTCTTGCTTCCCCTTTACACCTTTCCCCTCTCCATCTGTCTCTCTCCCTTCCTCCTCCCCCCTCCCTTTCTCTAGGATGCAGCCCGTAGCAGCTATCTATTTCCCATGTACCTATTTACTGCAAGGTGAGCATCAGGCGAAGAAAACTCTGCCCATTTGGTTCTGTCTCAGCCGGAATTCGAGCCCAGGTTCTTTGGAAAATGGCCTCGAGCACTGTCCGCTCGGCAGTGAGGACCTGTATGTATGAATGTAATTACCTAAGTGTAGTTACAGGATGAGAGCTACGCTCGTGGCGTCCCGTCTTCCCAGCACTCTATCGAATAACGCTTTGAAACTACTGACATGTACTCACCTAGTTACTCACCTAGTTGTGCTTGCGGGGGTTGAGCTCTGGCTCTTTGGTCCCGCCTCTCAACTGTCAATCAACAGGTGTACAGGTTCTTGAGCCTATTGGGCTCTATCATATCTACACTTGAAAATGTGTATGGAGTCAGCCTCCACCACATCGCTTCCTAATGCATTCCATTTGTCAACCACTCTGACACTAAAAAAGTTCTTTCTAATATCTCTGTGGCTCATTTGGGCACTCAGTTTCCACCTGTGTCCCCTAGTGCGTGTGCCCCTTGTGTTATAGTGTGCCTGTCTTTATCAACCCTGTCGATTCTCTTGAGAATCTTGAATGTGGTGATCATGTCCCCCCTAACTTTTCTGTCTTCCAACGAAGTGAGGTTTAATTCCCGTAGTCTCTCCTCGTAGCTCATACCTCTCAGCTCGGGTACTAGTCTGGTGGCAAACCTTTGAACCTTTTCCATTTTAGTCTTATGCTTGACTAGATATGGACCCCATGCTGGAGCCTGTGTGCGTGCGTGCGTCCGTGCTCGGCCGCCCCCGCGACATTCTACACCATATGTGGTCATGGTAATGTGATGGCGATGGAGGTTCGTGAAGGGTTCGTGACTCGTCGTAAGTGGAGGAGCGTGAGGCAGCCTAATGTGTCGGAGGGTTGAAGGGGGACACGCAGGTGATGGATGGGAGGACATTTTGTTTTTTAGCTGTATGACAAAACGGTTTGGCAAGGCGGTGGGAGTGAGTGATGGAGGCGTAAATGTTCGGGGGGTTGACAGGCCTTATGTCAGCTGAGTGGACAGCGTTCGGGATTCGTAGTCCTGAGGTTCCGGGTTCGATTCCCGGTGGAGGCGGAAACAAAAGA